GATCGAGTCCCGCATCGGGCTCCCTGCTCGGCAGGGAGTCTGCTTCTCCCTCTGACCCTCCTCCCTCTCATGCTCTCTGTATCTCATTCTCTCTGTCTCAAATAAATAAATAAAATCTTTAAAAAAAAAAAAAAAAAAAAAAAAAAAAAAAAAAAAAAGAATGGGTTTCTCAGTACAAAATTGTACTGCAACTTTTTGTACATAGTAAAGCAACATGAAAGCCTAACCTTCTATTTTTCAGATACCTGTAGATAACTGAACAATGCCAAATCCTAAAACTGAAAAACACACCATCTTGGAGGAAGGCTGTTCAGCAAAAACCAAATCAACCCTTTAGGCAAAAATTAAGTTTAGCAACTGCTATATACATAGCTTCATATATATTCTAAATTTCACTACTATGCATGTTTCATTTGCTATATTATCATTCAGAATACAAAAACATGTAAAAGGTTTCATGTGAACAACCTTATAGTTTCAAAATAAAGATAGCCAGGTTCAATCAAAATTATTACCTTAACTATTTTAAAATCCAATTTTTTTTTAGATTTTATTTTGATTTTATTCATGAGAGACAGAGAGAGAGAGAGGCAGAGGGAGAAGCAGACTGCCTCAGGGCTGGATGTCAGGACCCTGGGTTCATGACCTGAGCAGAAGACAGACGCTTAACCGACTGAGCCACCCAGGCACCCCCCAATTTTTTTTTTTTTAATATTTTATTCATTTATTTGACAGAGAGAGAGTGAGAACACAAGCCAGGAGACAAGGGAGAGAGAGAAGCAGGTTCCTCGCTGAGCAGGGAGCCCGACATGGGACTCGATCCCAGGACCCTGGGATCATGACCTGAGCCGAAGGCAGCCGCTTAACCAACTGAGCCACTTAGGCACCCCTCCCCCAATTTTTTAAATTATAAAATATTTAACCTTGGTTAAATACTTTTTCCAAATCATCCACAAAAGTTACCAAACACGAAAAAGATGACATTTTTAATTCATAAATGAACTGTCATGTTAATGTATTAATCTATACCTCACAACCACTCAAAAGGCAGCCAATGTTATAATGTTTTAAATCAACTTTTAAACACTTCAAAATATTAACATTCTATTTAACCAATAAGAATAAAGCAAGCTGACCATGGGATATACACAAAAGTATCATCACCACCTCAAATTTACATAACCTCATCTCCAACAACTATCTCGTTTGATTCAGTCTTAAGGAAGTCAATCTTACTCTCAATTTACATATGAAAAATTAAAACAGGAATCAAGTCATCTGCTCAAGGACACCACCAATTAGGGACAAGTTATTAGCAGCCAAGAGTACTGAACTACATCTTCCAAAGTATAATGCTCATTCACTATCCTACAGTGACATAACAGAGCTCACTTCAAATGGCTTCCAAAAACATTACCTAAAACATAAAGGGTTCTTGACAGCTTTCAAAATAGTGAATTCTGATTAACAAAAAAATAAAATAAAATAATGACTATAGATTATTTCAGTCATAAACTTTTATCTTTTGATAAAAAAAAGTTCAACAGCATGTTTTACTTAAGACAACCAAAAATTTTTAGTCTCAAGTATTTTGATTAAGAAAGGTAGGAAGATAAAAAAAGAGAAAGAAAAGAAAGGTAGAAAGATAAGTTTAGAAAGTTTTATCAATATATCTGCTTTATGCTACCTATGGCATCAATAAAGTATCCAAATTTTAATAACTTGTCCCTAAACAAGCCTATTGCAGCAAATGCCCCATAAAACAAAAAAACTCTTTAACTGTTAAATACTTTATGTAAAGTGTACTGAAATGCATTCCTTAGGCAATCTAGTCCACTTTAGCGATCACCCTGACATTGAAATCATCCTGACATCTTAAATCTTATTTCATTAAGAAGCCAAACCAGGAAGAAACTTACCTGGGAACTTAATGGTTTACAGATATCCTTCACCTCCAAAGTATCTGAGTTGAAACCATTAAAATCAGTAAGGTTTTATCATTTGAAAACCACTCAGAAACCACGGACAGAAATACAGCTTTCATCTTCATCAAAGTTAGGATGAAAAGACATGTACCCAATAATACAAAGGTAGCTCAGGTGGGAGATGAGGAAGCTTCCGCCCTGCTGCTGGACTTAAAATGCAACCTCAAGCCAACGGTTAACCACCTGTGCTCCCAATCACCTACCCTGCCTCCCTCCAGGAGTCACCTCCTCCGGACTTCTTTGGCCCAGCTGAAGCTCATCCTAATCAAAAAGTATTCCCTCTCCCTTCTGTGTTCCTGAGCCAAATTTATCAACAAAGCGTGAATGAATAGGTTCCTAGACTAGAATCTGTTCATCCATTGAACAAACATGTACTGAGCACCTACTAAGGACACAGAGAAAACAAAAATAAACCGAAGTTCTTTTCATTTGAAACCACATGAGTTTTACAAGTAAGTGTCTATGTCTCTCACCACGACATTTTCCACTACCTTCCACTACATTCCTTGATGAGAGGGATTATGTGTAGCAAAAAAAATTGGGGCTTTGGAGCCAGGCAGACCTTCACCACTCCTAATTGTAATCTTAGAGAAGTCACTTATATATGGAGTCTCAGGTTCCACTCATGTGTAAAATGAAATAAGTATCTATGAACCACGACTGTTATAAGGATTTGAGTAATGGTTTAAGTGCCCAGATACAGTTAGATGCCCAGTTGTTGTTCATGGAACGCATGATAAACCCACTAATAAAAATGGGGGGCGCCTGGGTGGCTCAGTCCGTTGGGTGGCTGCCTTTGGCTTGGGCCATGATCTCAGGATCCTAGGACTGAGTCCCACATCGGGCTCCCTGCTCGGTGGAGAGCCTGCTTCTCCCTCTGCCTCTGCCCCTTCCCCCTGCTCGTGTGCTCACTCTCTCAAATAAATAAAATCTTAAAAAAAAAAGAAATTAATAAAAATGGGACTACCACTGTCATGTTTCATTCAGTTACTGAGATTCATGAATGTGAAAATGTAGTATTAAATGCAACAGAAAATAGTTAAAACCCATCAATGTGTACACTGAGTGGAAATATATTGTGTCCTGGATAGTACTTTCGCCACTCCAACACCACTCTCTAAGGCTGACAGGATTCTGGCTGTCAGGCATAAGGAATATACAATTCTGAATTTGAGGAGGCCCAAGAAATATACTCTGGCCTTATAAAACCCTGAGACCTAACTTTTACTTGATCTTTAAGGACTGAAGAACACTGAGCCAACATTTACCCAATGGCGTCAACACTCTGGGACAAATCCCTCAGTCAGCCCCAGAACCACTTCTTCACCCATTCAAACAAAATTGGGCCCAAACAGATGCACACAGAGTTTGGAGAGGTAGAAATTACTATTATTTCTCTTTCTCCTTCCTCTTCCTTGATATCCAAATGAATACTCCTCATTTCTGCTAAAACTACATTGATAAACTAATATGTTATATGTCAATTATACCTCAATAAAGAAATCCAGACTGGGGGAGGGGAAGGCTACATTAAGGTACACTGAATTTAAAACCCAAAGCATTGGCTGAAGGGCATAAGATAAAAATAATACTCTCATAATATAAATGTTAAATTCCCTTAGCCACTTCTAGAAGCTCTGCTGCCTACATAAAAAAAAGTGACCAATTTATCACTGTAAAAGGGAGAGCAATATTCTTGTCTACTTATACACAGATGAGAAAAACTGGCAATCCTAAATGTGATTGCAAAATTTGGGGGCAAAAAAAGTCAAAGCATATAAAAATATATATTGTCTCTCACTTCCTAAAACCTCAGTAAGAAACAATCACTTCTGAAAGTACCACAGTGTAATGTCAAAAGAACCCAAGATCCTGTCCCTATCAACCTCCAAAACCTGACAGACTCCACTGCGCTGCAGAACTCAAATGAATAGGTTTCTAAACTACTTCGTCTTTTCATTCACTGAACAAATATTTACTAAGCAACTACTAAGGGCGAGGCAATTAGTACCAACCCTGGGGGGGGGGGGGCACTGCAGTGAAGAGGTCTGACAAGGTCCTTGCCCCAGTGCTATGGTTCTCAATGGGGGAAGTATGGAACTTGAAAAGGGTGTTCGGAAATCTGGGGCAGAGGAGGTATTTTGGGCTGTCTGCTTCATTACACCTTCTAAGGGAGTCACTCCTAGATATCTACAAAGGGAAGTTAAAAAAACACTTCGTTATAAATAAAAGGTTAATTCACAACTTTCAATACCACTGACCCAGCGGAACTTACCTCCCAAAAGTAGGAGAAACAGCTAAATGAAAAAAACCATCTCACAAAGTGGTACAAACAAAATAAAGGTATTGATATGAAGTGCGGCACTCTAGTGTAAATGGGATTCTCAGGGAAGGCCTCACTGAGAAACACATTAGGTACCACTGAACGTTAACTCTTGTACTCACACTACACGGAACTAAAAGTACAATGAAGTAAAAACTGTCATTTTTTTAATATCGGTGCTCATCCATAATATCATCATATATTGGCCTGCTGCTTATTAACTTCCGAGTACAGTCGTCTAGTCATTCTTTACCAAGCCAACAACAGGTAGTAGAACCTTAGCTATCTCACTTGACTTTGAAGATGAGTCTCTAAACAAAACTTGAAGCTGCTCTTACAACCCTGGCTTGGACAGTTTGTAATAATCATTGTTCGCACACCCAGTGCAGCTAACAAAAGAGATTCACGCCCTCCGGTTTGCTGAGCTCGAGATGCTCCTGCACACCGGGGTGAGCTGGGGCTCGCGCCCGCGACGCGGGGATTCCCAGAGGCCTGGCCCCGGGGGCCCGCTGGAGCCCCCGGCGCGCGGGCGCCGAGAGCGGACGGCGGGGGCGTGGCGGGCCCGGCGCCTGCCTTTGTTGTCCCTCGTGGCGCGCGGGGGGGGGAGGGGCGGCCCGAGGCCCGCGAGGCCAGTAGCTGCGCCCGGCTCCCGTCGCGTGGCCTCCCCGGCCACCACGGGCGCGCGAACCCACCTTCTTGTAGTGCTTGCCCAGCCAGACCCGCACCGAATCCAGCTGGGACACCGTCTCCGGGCTCTCCCAAAACTTGCTGGCCGGGCCACCGTCCTTCCGCCGATAAACGGCCAGGCCCGCGGCCGTCGCCGCGCCTCCCGCGCCCGCGGCGCCCGCCGCCGCCCCTAGCCCGCCGCCGCCCGCCGCCGCGGCCATAGTCGCCGTCGGTCGTCCCCACCGCCCGGCCCGCCCCGGCCCTCGCAGCGATCCCCGTTCGCACTCTCGCGCGCGCGCGCAGCCGCCACCACCGCCTCCCGACCCCGCCCAGCCAACCCCCTTCCGGCGCGGAGGGCCGGCCCCGCCCCTTCTAGGGACCCGAAGAGGGCACGCGCGCACGCATGCGCAGCACCGGCGCCGGGCGGGCTTGGGACGAGCACTTGCCCCCGCCTCTTCCGCCAGCCGAGGCAGGCTGCGCACTTTCTCCGCTACCGAGCCTGGGCCTCTGCGGGAGGTGCTGTATCCAAGTTCCGGCATCCCGTCAACCACTGCACCGAGGTTCTGTGTCATCCCGTGACACCGTCGGAGAAAAGACCTGGCGTGAGAAGTTTCGAGGGGGAAGCCCGTTTAGGGTGTCCAGTGCTGGCCGAGGAACCCCCACGCAGGGTGGGAATCTGCGTCGGCTTGCCCCCCTGCCCTCAGACTTTCTGCACAAAGCGGCCGCGTACCCTTTGTAAACGTCCACCTGGGACCACCACCCGGAGCTGCTTTGGCAGCACACACCTTCCTCCCCCTCGTGGCTTTATCCACACCAGCTATTTCCTACCTCGGGGTCCTTGCACCGGCTGTTCCTGAGATCTGGACGGCTCTTCCCCTATGACTGTCGCTTAGGCGCTTTCAAATTCATAGCCTAAGGGTACCTTAGAAAAACGATCTCTGGGGGCGCCTGGGTGGCTCAGTTGGTTAAGCGACTGCTTTCGGCTCAGGTCATGATCCTGGAGTCCCTGGATCGAGTCCCGCATTGGGCTCCGTGCCCGGCGGGGAGTCTGCTTCTCCCTCTGACCCTCCCCCCTCTCATGTGCTCTCTCTCTCTCATTCTCTCTGTCTCAAATAAATAAATAAAATCTTTAAAAAAAAAAAGAAAAACGATCTCTGAGCGTACAATATTGAACAGCTAATCATATTCACTCGACATTCTCTGTGTAGCACTCAAGACGACCTGGTATTTTTCTTATTTTCTTACTTGTCCACATTCATTACATGAGAACCTAATCGTGACTTGTTCACAGGGATACTTGCAGTGCTGGGAACAGGCCTGTTATCTAATGGATAGTCCATAAATATTTGATGAATGAGTGAATGAATGACCTACGGAGGAGCAGAAAGATTTTAAATTACTAACAAAGTATGATTGGCCTTTATGGCGTTATAAACATGATGTTATATAACACCAGAACAGCAGGTGACTAATTACTTGTGAGAAAGTCTGGTGAGGTTTTGAGACCAACTTTTAAGAATGAATAGAATGGGGGCGCCTGGGTGGCTCAGGTGGTTAAGCGACTGCCTTCGGCTCAGGTCATGATCCTGGAGTCCTGGGATCGAGTCCTGCATCAGGCTCCCTGCTCGGCAGGGAGTCTGCTTCTCCCTCTGACCCTCCTCCCTCTCATGCTCTCTGTCTCTCATTCTCTCTCTCTCAAATAAATAAATAAAATCTTTAAAAAAAAAAAAAATGAATAGAATGTGATCAGGGAGGAAAGGACATTTTAGACACACAAAAACAACTGGATCAAAGTCGTTAAAGTGTGAAAGCAAGCTGGGTGAAACCTTCTTTGAGCCCATGGTGTGGAAGCAGAGATGTTACTTGATTGTGGCAGTGAATTTTGACTTTATCCTGTAAGCATTGGGAAATCAGCTTGAACAGAGAGAATGATGTGATCAGATCTACAGATTAGGAAGATAATAGTTGCAAGTGTGAAAGATATATTAGAGAAAGAAGATGAAAAAAGATTACCTGATAAACAATGTAGGACAGAAACAATGAGAATAATATGAGTCAGATGTGAATCTTTTCCCCTCAGAGCTCAGACTTCAGAAATACTGACAATAGCTGGTGTTGATGGGGCACTTTTATGTGCTGTCCTCTGTGCTAGGTACACCTGTATTACTGCAGATAAGGAAATTGAGGCAGAGAGAGGTTAAGTAACTGGCTAGCAGGTATTAGAGTATTAGACCCTGGAGTACTAATGCACCCCCTCCTTCCTAAGTACACTGCATTTTCTTTTCTTTTTTTTTTTTTTTTTAAGATTTATTTATTTATTTGAGAGAAAGATGCAGGGAGGGGCCAAGGGAGGGAGAGAGAGAGTCTTAAGCAGCATCCGTGCTGAGCTCAGAGCCGGAAGCAGGGCTAGAGCTCATGACCTTGAGATCACGACCTGAGCCCAAACCAAGTGTCTGACACTTAACTGACTACACCACCCAGGTGCCCCAACTGTGTTTACTATTAGCTTGTGAGTAGAGCAGAGAAAATGCTCTGGAGGAATTCAGAAAACTATTTCATTTGCCCGTAGCCATAGAGAAGGAAGTTAGTTCTTCCAGGCCAGTGGTATTCCAATTTTTTTGCTCATATAACTTCTAAACTAATTTGGAAAACTACATACCTTTTCCTTTTAAGAAAAACATCTAAAATTTGTCATTAAAATTAATTGAGCACATTATAAAGATGGGCATTTTTTTTAAAGATTTTATTTATTTATTTGAGACAGAGAGAATGAGAGACAGAGAGCATGAGAGGGAGGAAGGCCAGAGGGAGAAGCAGACTCCCTGCGGAGCAGGGAGCCCCATGCGGGACTCGATCCAGGGACTCCAGGATCATGACCTGAGCCGAAGGCAGTCGCTTAACCAACTGAGCCACCCAGGCGCCCAAGATGGGCATTTTTAAATAAAATGGTTTTATCATGTTTTAAAAGTTTTTATTTTGGGGGCACCTGGGTGGCTCAGTTGTTTATGCATCTGCCTTCCACTCAAGTTGTGATCCCAGGGTCCTAGAATTGAGCCCTGCGTCCGGCTCCCTGCTCAGCGAAGAGCCTGCTTCTCCCTCTCCCCTCTCCCCCCCAGCTCATGCGCGCTCACTCTCTCGCTCTCTATCTCAAATAAATAAATATTTTAAAAATAAATAAATAAATAATTTAAAAAGTTTTTATTTTGAAATAATCTCAAACTTACAAAAAAGTTACAAATACAGTACAAAGAGCTTTTTCTTTTCCTGAACCACATAAGAGTATGTTGCTGACATGATGACCCATCATTCTCAAAAATGTTAGTGTAGGGGCACCTGGGTGGCTCAGATGGTTAAGCGTCTGCCTTCGGCTCAGGTCATGATCCCAGGGTCCTGGGATCGAGCCCCACATCGGGCTCCCTGCTAGGCAGGGAGCCTGCTTCTCCCTCTGCCTCTGCTTCTCTCTCTCTCTGACTCTCATGAATAAATAAATAAAACATTAAAAAAAAAGTTAGTGTAGATCTCCCACAGACAAGTATATTCTGTTACATAATCACAACAACCATCAACACCAGGAAATTAACATTTATACTATCCTCAGACCCCATTCCTTTCTCTTGCTGCCCCTGTAAACTCTCTTAACAGCAGAGTCTCCGGTTCAGAATCATGCATCTCATTAGATCAGTTTTCAAGTTCTTTCAATCTGGAACAGTTCCTTGGTCTTTAACTTTCGCAAGGTTGACAATGTTGAAGATTTCAAGCCAGTTATTTTGTAGAATGTCCCTCAGTTTGAGTTTGGTGGATGTTTTTCACGCAGTGTTCTTTTCACTATATACAAATGGTGCATGATTTCATGACTTCCATAACTTTGATGAGTTGATTAAGAGAGTCTCTGGCAGGGGCGCCTGGGTGGCTCAGTCGTTAAATGTCTGCCTTCGGCTCAGGTCATGATCTCAGGGTCCTGGGATCGAGCCCCGCATCGAGCCCCGCATCGAGCCCCGCATCGAGCCCCGCATCGGGCTCCCTGCTCGGCGGGAAGCCTGCTTCTCCCTCTCCCATTCCCCCTGCTTGTGTTCCCTCTCTCGCTGTGCCTCTCTCTGTCAAATAAATAAATAAAATCTTAAAAAAAAAAAAAAAAAAAGAGAGAGAGTCTCTGGCAGGCTTCTCTACTGTGAAGTTATTCTTTTTTTCTTTTTAAGGATTTTTTTTAAGATGATATTTTTTAAAGATTTTATTTATTTATTTATTTGAGAGAGAGAGAGAAACAGCATGAGAGGGGAGAGGGTCAGAGGGAGAAGCAGGCTCCCTGCTGAGCCGGGAGCCCGATGCAGGACTCGATCCCAGGACTCCGGGATCATGACCTGAGCTGAAGGCAGACGCTTAACGACTGAGCCACCCAGGCACCCTTTTTAAGGATTTTACTTATTTTTGTGAGAGAGAGAGAGAGAGAATGGGGGGAGGGGCAGAGAGAGAAGCAGACTGCTCACCGAGCTGGGAGCCCGATGCAGGACTCGATCCCAGGACCCCGGGATCATGACCTGAGCCGAAGGCAGATGCTTAAGGACTGAGCCACCCAGGCACACTACTATGATGTTATTCTTTTTGCCTTTGTAATTAATTAGTATTTTCTGGAGAGAGATTTTGAAGGTATGTAAATACCCCATTCTTCATCAAACTTCCCATTTCCTTTTATCAGACAAAGTCAAATGGTTGCAAATTTGACTAAGTACAGATTTGTAACTCTAACAATAAGACATGTGCTGCCATTATCCTTACTATATTTACTTACTTTATCAGTTCACCTACATGTAACCATTCTCCATGCTGGGCTACACACAGGAGTGTGTAGGTAACCTCTATCCTTCTTGGCTCCTACAGTCACATGCTAAGCCACCCTATTATGCTTGTCTACCTTGCTGACACCACCTAAAAGCTTTAGGACTGAATTATTTGAAAAGAGATGGTTAGGGAATAGGAAAAGTAAGACGACATCACTCTTGGGGTGCCTGGGTGCCTCAGTTGGTTGAGTGTCTGTCTGCCTTCTACTTCGGTCATGATCCCAGAATCCTGGGATCCAGCCCTGCAGCAGGCTCCCTACTCAGTGGGGAGTCGGCTTCTCCCTCTCCCTCTCAAATAAATAAATCGTTAAAAAAAAGACATCACTCTTGGGGCGCCTGGGTGGCTCAGTTGTTAAGTGACTGCCTTTGGCTCAGGTCATGATCCTGGAGTCCCGGGATCGAGTCCCGCATCGAGTCCCGCATTGGGCTCCCTGCTCAGCG